TGCTACCTGCGCCAGCAATCACGGTTCCACGCTCGCCTCTTGCCACAATAACCGGCTCACCAGTCTCAGCAAGGAGGGTGCTAGCATCCCACTCAAACTCTCTGAATGTGCGAGCGACTTCCTTTGTTGCAACATGCAGCAGTGGATTCCCAGGCACTGTGAACAACTTGTGCGAAACCCAAAGCTCCTTGAGGTTGCTGAACATGAGTGTTGGAATGGCCTCCCACCCGCCCATGCTCAACGAGACAAAGCCAACGTGGAAGACCGAGTCAAACGTTGTAGGATGAATTACACATGGATCTTCCTGGGCGTATGGCATATTCTTCGCATAATCCCGCAGAGCAAGAGTACCCGACGCACACCCGTTGCGGGAGTACTTGATATCGCGCAAGCTCTGGAAATATGGCCCGTAGTCGAACCCAGACTTCTTGCTCAGATTTTCGTACAGCTGCCCGCTCTGTACACTCAACGTGCACTGCTTTGCCGCCGTTGCGTGCTCCTCGCTCACGGCGCTTGTCCACCTAGCTTTGCGTGCGACCGTCTCGGGCGAGGCCTCCGCATCCTCAAGTTCAACACGAATACTGCCAAACGCACACTCAATCCACTCATCGCCTCCGAGCGTAAACACCCGCCAGTCGTATACACCTTGAGCAGCGTCTTTAGCTGTATGTCGGCGCGGCTGAAGGTAGATTTTCGCCTCAGTGCCCTTTTCCGTCTCGTTCACAGGAATAGAGCGCATGAACCGTACGTTTTCGAGCTTGTACCCACTGATTGCCGCGTTGGGTGGGAGGAGTTGCCGTGCGGCCTCAATGGCCATCACGAGCATGCCTGTTCCAGGGTAGAGAGGTGAGCCTTCGAGCGCATGGTCAACAATCCAAGGAGCTTCGGCCAGGCGGATCTTGTGGTGCCATGTTGGTTGCTGGGGATTGAAGTCGTTCTCGCGTAGACCCAGGAGGGCGTGCCTCCGGAAGGGTCGTTGCGAGTAGAGGGCACTGATGCGGGGTTCATCCCAGTAAAGCTTGGCCCTGGAGAATGGGTAGGCTGGGAGGTCTGTTGCTCGCTTCGGCTGGGTTATGGGCTTCAGAGTGGCTTGATTGGGCATGTTGAGATTGATGGGTAGACCGGCGCTCCAAAGGGCGCCGATGGTTTCGAGGAGAGACTGGATGTCGGGTTGACGAGGGTTGAGCACAGCTGCATATGTCCACTTATCCTGGCCTTCACCAAGGTGCGCAAGGATGTCTTTGACTGGCCGTCGAAGAGCAGATTGGGGGCCGATCTCAACAAGGAACTTGGTAGCTTGCTTCCGTTCGCTCATCAGCGCTGTTACAGCGTCGGTGAAGAGAACTGGAGACAGAAGGTTTTTCACCCAGTAGCTTGGTCTTGCAAGACCCTCCAACGTGATGAAACTGCCTTCGGTGGACGAGAAGAATGCGACAGTGCTCGGCGCTTTGCTGTCTTTTGCTGGAGCGCATATACCGGCCAGTAAGCCCTCATATTCCCCTGCACCATCCCGCAGCGCCTCGGAGTGATAGCCGATTGTCACAGGCAGCTTCCGTACGAAAACTTCCTCGGCCTCTAGCGTCTCACACAAGCGTGCAATTGCCACAACGGGACCCGACAATGTGACGTTGACAGGGCTGTTCTCACACGCGACCGTCACCGATGTCTCAGCCTTTAGATACGGCTCAACAGCCTCTTTACCCAACCCCACCGACATCATCGTGGTCTTCTCCCTCGCTTGGTCAGAAGCCAGCTTGTCGGCCACAACACCACGGAAGTAAGCCACCCGCCATGCACTCTCACGATCTAGTCCGCCTGCACAGTATGCAGCCGCGACCTCACCAGACGAATGCCCAACTACAGCGCGAGGAACAATGTGCCACGTGCGCAGCAGATCTACAAGAGCAATCTGTATGGCGGTACAGAGGGGCTGCGATAGTGCTGGTTTACTAACTTTGCTTACGTCCTTGTCCTTCTCAAGTTCTTCTAGCACAGACCATGTACTTCCCAGTGTTTTGAGATAAGCGTCGCAGTCAGTGAGACTTTGGCGGAACATGGAATAATGCAGAAGGCCAATAGCCATACGCGCGTATTGCGCGCCTTGCCCTGTGAAGACGAATGAGAGATCGGGGGCGGAAGAGGTGCTGCTGAATATGCTTGGCGAGACGAGGGCTGTGAGATCGTCGGTGATAGAGGAGACAACGGCGAAGGAACGGTAGCTGAGTAGTGATCGATGCGAGGAGAGGGTGTAGGTTAGGTCCGAGAGGTAATCCGGCGCGTGGGGGGTATCGCGTGATAAGAGGAAGTCTTGGAGGGTCGCTGCTTGGCGCGTCGTGCCGTCGCTGTCTGCTGCTGAGAAAGGAATGATGGCATAGGGGGTTACGGATGGGAGGGCACCGTTGCCATTGGTATTTCCGTTGGTACTTCCGTTTGTGTATCCGTTGGTGTGTCCATTGGTAGCTGTGGGCTCGCCGACCGATTGATGCAGGCCTTTCAAGCCATGACTGCGCAGGTAGTTGCATGCGTCGTCAAGAATCACATGGGCGTTGCTCCCTCCATATCCGAAGGAGCTCACGGATGCCCTACGAATCTCTGTTTGCGGCCATGGTACTGGTTCCTTAGGAAAAGCAAGCTGCAGATACTCTGTATCAATAGCAGGATTTGTCCTCTCGAACATGGCGATAGGCGGAATCACAGCCTTCTCCAGCGCAAGAACGGCTTTGATCACGCCAGCCATACCCGAAGCGCCCTCCAAGTGACCAATATTGGATTTTACTGAACCAACATACAGTGGTCTGTCAGACTTGCGGCCATCGCGGAAAGCCTCTCCTATAGCGGCCGCTTCGATGGGGTCGCCAACCGGTGTCCCGGTGCCGTGAGCCTCAACATAGTCCGTATCAGCAATATCAAAGCCGGCAACACGATATGTGTCTCGCAACAGATCAAGCTGCGCCTGCTGGCTTGGCTGTGTGATACTGGGTGTTCGACCATCTTGATTCGCACCCGTGGCCCGGATCACTGCCCTGATAACGTCTTTATCTCTTATGGCAGCTTCCAGCGGTTTGAGCAAGACGAAACCAAATCCTTCGCCTCTTGCATAACCATTCGCCTTCTCATCGAAGCTATAACTCTTTCCGTCAATGCTTAGAAATCCACCGTTGCTGAGCGCAAGTGCTTGGCTCTCGGGTGTAATAAATGTATTCGCGCCGCAGACAAGCGACATGGCGCTCTCACCTGCGATAATACTCTGCACGCCGAGATGCAAAGCATATAATCCCGATGAGCAGGCTGTATCAACCGTAAGAGACGGCCCCGCTAAATCGAAGAAATGGCTGACACGGTTGCTCAGCATGGATGAGCCATTGGCAGTGGCGTGATAACGCGACTGTGAGGCAAAGTCGCGTCCAGTTATGGTTTCGCCATCTCGGGAGAAAGATGCACAGTAGACTGATGTGGGAGAGCGAGACAGTGTTTCCATGGGTATACCCGCGTTTTCGAACGTGCGGTAGGCGCCCTCGAGAAGACCGCGCTGCTGCGGATCTAGAACTGATGCCTCTGCGTATGACATGTTGAAGAAGGGTGCGTCGAAACTGCGGGGGTCTTCTTCCATGAAATGTGCATGGCGGATGCGTAACTACCGGAGTCAGCTTGGTTGATTTTCAGATGTCAGAAATCAACGTTTGGACTCACACTGTCTAACCGATTCGGGTCCGGATGGTAGAAAGCATCTATGTTGAATCGATCGGACGGTATCTCTTTTGATACGTTCCTCGCACTCATCAGTAGCTCCCAGAAGGCTTGTGCAGATACTGCATCGCCTGGGAACTTCATGTTCATGCCAATTATGGCTATGGGAGTCGTCCTGTCCGTAGCCATGGTTGCGATATACAGTATGTGACTCGCTGAATCAGATTGCTTAGAGGTATTATGTTAAAGTTTGTGAAGCGCTGTTCGAGACAATAGCCGACACAAGGAGAACTGGGGATTCAATAAAGTTGATCTGTTACACGAACATCGACGAATCTATACTAAATACCTAGGTACACTTGACGACTGGCCGAGAACTACACGCCAGCCTCGCATCAACATCTGGTTGAGTAGACACACCGAGCTGATTCCTGAACAGTGTCATGGCCAAAGCGTTTCTACCTCATCCAGAAGGTTGAGTAAGCCCGAGCTGTTAGCTTACGGTGATACTGTGAGAGCCGCATCTGCAAATACGACGCTACAGGCACCCCATGTTACAAGTCGAACGGTTTCTTCCATGAGTAAACGGTCAAGTAGGCCCGAGTCATTAGCCTACGGTGATACTTGGAGGGCCACGTGTAGGTAGAGGATGCAGGCACCCCATGTTGTTGCCTGGCTTCGGGTCTTTTTGGCTCGGGGTGTTTGAGAAGACAGAAGATGAGAGGACTAGTCGATGAAAGTTGCCTTGCTGTTAGTTGCAGCGGTGATTAGATAACCGTGCGGCTGATGACAAGCTCCACCGTACAGGTTAGCGCGTGGCTCGGGCTCGTGCCAAGCCACGTAAGAACTTCAGAGAAACCGAGAGACGCTCCGACGCGCCAGCTACATCTTTTGGTCTTCGTGCTCATGCCGTGATGACCCAATTGCGACTACTCTAGGCTGGTTAATTATGTGACGGCGCTGGTTTACCGGCAGCGTCGGAAGTGGTGATCCGGGGGCGTTCGCGATGGTGAGTGCCATGACTGCGAATACACGCCAGCTCGAAATTCGGCTTCTTCAATCTACCCGGACTCACTTCGGACTGTTATCATAGAAGTAGTCGACGAGTCTAGTGTCAGAGCCGGGCTATGCGATACGTGCTTATGCCGTCTTTCTGCAGTCTGGGTTTTTGACTTCCGACAGGACACCAAGCAGTAATCGTTCAGATCTGGGAACTCACTCACGCCCAATGCTCGCTGTTTCTCATCAAACACAACTTACCACTCCCTTCTCGTTGATGGAGACTTCCAATTAGAAAGCACGCAACTTCGAATATGAGCATTCTAACATCCTTGGACATTGACTCCTCAAAACTTCTTCTTTACGGCATTGTCACGATCATATTCCTCTCAGTTCTGAAGTCCGGATCGCACAATGGCAAGAAGTCTAAGTCATCAATTCCGCATGCTCCGCGCATTCCATACAAACTTCCTTTCGGACTGGATATGGCTTGGAAACTCGTAACACGTCTACATTCAAACACATTTGTTGAATACGTATGCGAGGAAGTTCTCAATACTCCTGGTCGCACGATCGAGATGAATCTACTAGGGGGTGACATTTTCATCACCGATAGAGCGGAGAACATCAAGGCTATACAAGCAGATCAGTTTGCGGACTTTGCTAAAGGGCAGACGCCACACGATGTGTTCAGTAGTATATTGGGAGACTCTGTCTTTACAAGTGAGTGCGATCTCGGAAACTGCATGATACAGCTGCTGACGTCTTTCTAGCGGATGGCCCTTTGTGGAAGACGAGCAGGGAGCAACTAGAGCCGCATGTCTCTCGTGTTCGTCCGGACGATATACCTGTAGCTGAGGAACACATGCAGAAGCTTCTCAAACTGATCAAAAGCTCGCCCGAGAGGGTCGATGTGTATGATGTGGTCGACAGGTTTCAACTCGATCTAGTGAGCCAAGTTTTCCTTGGGGAATCCACAAACTCACTATCAGCGAACCAACAACCTTTCCGTAAGGCCATGGAAGATCTGCTGACATACAATACCAATCGTCTACTTTTTGGCCGCCTTGCAAATTTGTTTCCCGACTGGCTTTTTGCACCCAAGGCCTATCGTGAATTGACGCGTTACATCAACGACCTCATCGAAAAGACTCTGGCTCTGCCAATCAACAATCAGACAGATCTCAAGACAGAGAAAGAGTTTAACCTTGTGGAGGATCTGGTCGCCACGCATCCGAATGATCGATATTTTATCAGAGGCCAGCTCATAGCAGTCCTGATGGCTTCTAAGGATCCGGGTGCTATCCTTTCTACGTGGACCATATACCATCTGGCCCGGGATCCAGCATTGTGGAAAAGACTTCAGCAGGAAGTTGAAGTGCACATCGGCATGGATGCAATTCCTACAACAGCTCAACTGAGGAAGTTATACCTCCTAGCCAACACAGTCAAAGAGTCCATGAGAATGTACCACCCGCTCGGCCTCAACATTCGAGAGGCCAGAAGTGATGCGATTCTGCCCGTCGGCGGCGGCCCAGATGGGAAAGATCCCATATCGGTTTCAAAAGGACAGATTATTGTTTACTCAGTCGCTGGCCTCCAGCGTAACAAAGCCAAGGTCGGCGCAGATGCTGATGTATGGGATCCTTCACGATGGGACACTTGGTCGCCAAAGTACGGCGACTACCTACCCTTTAGCATCGGGCCACGTCAATGCCCCGGCAGAGTCTTTGGTCGATTCCAGATTCAATATATCCTGGTGCGACTTCTTCAAGAGTTTGAGAGGATTGAGTGGTGTGGACTTGGCGGTGATGGGGACAAAGGCACGGAAGAGATGAAGATCAAGGTCGAGCTCAATCTTAAGCCAGCTGAGGCCGTAGTTTGCAACTTCGTGCCGCGTCGCAAGAATACTGCTTAGCGCTGAGATTGAAAGATTTACAGGCGTTTTGGGCGATCGGAGCCTGTGATGAATATATTCGACTAGCATGCAAGAAATGATATCCTCATACTCCTTACACTATGCTAGATGCGAATTTCTACTGACGCTGGATCGCGCCAGCATCTGGAATCTATGCTACGTCCCTGTTGTCACAGTTTACAGGTCATCTAGGCGTGCATTTCCCCAGACGTTCCGATTCCGATCGGAACTTCCGGTTCAGGGTCCGCACTAACTCAGGTACCCACAGCCTGACTCGCAAGCCACCGTTAGCATGAGTACTAGGTTATCCAGCGGTGTAATGCAAGAAATCTACCGAATCTCCGACATAGTGCCACAGACCACTGCTGACTACCACCGAAACTAAGCTCTTAGTCTGGCGGGCATTCTTGGTCGTCAACAAGTTGAAAAGACAACATCCGTTTATCCAACAACCTGGGTACCCAGGCTGTATCGTGCCTAAGCAGTGGAGCAATACATGTAGCTTACGACCTGGAAGTAGGCCGGCTTGGCAAAACGCCGAGCAGACATTCAACATCATACTTGGTCGAATCGTCGTTCAGTCATACATCTCTGCGGAATAGTCCTTGGTCCGCCTCGGTCCCCGGTACAGGCAACTTCCGCGTTTCGTACATCGTATAAGCAAGACGATGCTCGCGGATGAGCATTACCGCACCGCGAATACGAGTGACCGATTACTAGACACCTACTAAGCAGATATACCCACCAATCCCATGCTTGGAAGGATAGGTATCAACATACACTTTCCATACGCGTAACGAACAGCTATTCGCGACATTCGTGCTTCCACATACGCGCGATGGGCACCTCAACAATATGGTTCACTCAAGGGGTCGCCAGATATGACGAGGTATCTTCGATATGGATAATTATGGGAATAACTATATGCGTGGTAATGAACCCAAGTGAGCACCATGCAAGACACAAGTTGACTGACCTGCGTCTCAGGCCTTGGTGTATACTCTCTGCTCTGTTGTCTACAACCTTTACCTCAATCCACTTAAACAAGTGCCTGGCCCTTTTTTGTGGTCTATCTCGTCTACACCGCTTTTCCTGGCATCTATCTCTGATACGCCACATAAAAAAATCCTCGAGTTGCATCAGAAGTATGGCGGGGTCGTACGAACAAGTCCAAACTCCGTGTCATGTCTCCACGCCACAGCATGGAAAGAAGTCTACGGACACCGTAAGCCCGGCCAGCCGGAAAACCTCAAACACCCAGGCTTCGTAGCCGAAGTCGCATCAGGCATCATCGGGGCCGACACAGAGACTCATACATACCAACGTCAACTAATAGCCCCGGGATTTGCGGCGCAAGGGATGCAGCGCCAGGAGCACATTATTCGGCACCATGTCAACAACCTCTTCAGCTGCTTTGAAGAACACTGTGCCAAGGGACGACCCCTTGACCTGGCCAAATGGTTCAACTATTTCTCGTTTGACATCATTGGCGATCTCAGCTTTGGCGAGTCCTTTGGGAACCTGGAGCGGGGGGACTTCCACCCGTGGATTGCGACGATCTTAGAGTTCTTCGTTGCGCAGCATGATATGGCGCATTTTCGGCGGGCATATCCGTTCTTGGAGGCGATGGTGGGCCCTCTTGTTAAGGTCCTTGCTGCGAAGATCATCCTGAAGCATAACACGTTCATGCGTACCCAGGTCGCGAAACGTTTGGCTTTGGAGCCTACTCGGCCGGACTTCATTGATGGTATGAAATTTGACCATTCTAAGGGAAAAGAAGGTCTTTCTTTTGAAGCAATCTGTCATAACGCGAGCATCTTCGTCGTGGCTGGATCCGAAACAACTGCACTCGCACTTACCGGGGCGACTTACCTACTCTGTACCCATCCGGAGGTGCTCAACAAGCTCAAAGAAGAGATTGACTCATCTTTCGATAGTGAACAACAGATCACTCTTCTCAGCGCGCAGCGACTCAAGTATCTTACAGCCGTCATAGATGAGACCCTGCGTATTTACCCAGCCGCTGTAGGCTCCGTGCCGCGACTGATCCAACGCCATGGCGAGGTAGTCGGCGGACACTTCCTTCCAGGAGGCACATGCGTGGATATATGGCATTGGGCAATGTATCATAACCCAGCTAACTTCACCGAGCCAGAGGTTTTTGCTCCCCAACGATGGCTTGGAGACCCTCGCTTTGAAGGCGATAAGAAAGTGGCATTCCAGCCTTTCTCAACGGGAAAACGCAGTTGCATTGGTCAGAATCTTGCGCATTCCGAGATAAAGCAGATCATGGCCCGGCTGCTGTGGAAGTACAATATTGAGCTCGTAGATCGCGAGTGGTACGACAAGCCATGGCATGATCAACCCGTGCGCGCTTCTTACGTGCACCCGCCGTTGAATGTTAGATTTAATCTTAGGACAGAACAGTTGGAATAGATTCGTACAGCCAGTCAGATGAAAATTACAATCCTATTGCAGCGTGGACGAAGGACGTAGCTCCGCTCAAAGATACTCGGGTGTGGATTCTGCGTACCGGAACGTTCCGATGCCGGTCGGAAGCTCCGGTGAACACCACAAGTTTTCGATCTTCTGACTAGAACTCATGCATGAAGTCCTCTGAGACGTCCAGGGATGACAAAAGATTCCTGGTTTCTTTCAGAACCTTCTTCTGCATATCCTCGCCGCGCTTTGAATACATCAGAACAGGGTATCTAGCATGATGTCAGCGAAGACTGGTCGAAACGCAGTCGAGTGAACCTTCACTTACGGGCGTACTCCCCACTCGCTCAAAAAGCCTCCATGACTTTCTCGCCCTGCGACTGCCACGGCATGAACGTATGTATTGGCACCCTCTTTCAAGCTCCTGCCAAACAGAGCAAAGTACACTGAGAACATGTATCTCAAAACAATACTTGTGTTGATGGTGCGCCAGATCTCTGTATCGCCTACCAACCCCGGACAAACCGTGTTGATAATCACCTCATCCGGGTTGATCAGCGCTGCCAGTCTTCTCAGAACAACCATCTGCAACAACTTCTCACGGGCATACCACTTCGTAGGATCGTATTTCTCGTCAAACTGCGGCAAGATTGGTTTCTCGTGATTGAAATCCGCAAAATATGCGGTGGTAGATGTCACAACCGTAAGTCTAGCTGGCTTTCCACCTAGACATCCTTTGGATCTTAGAGTCGGCAAGAGAAGCACAGCTAGCATGATTGTTGAGAGGTAGTTGACTTGGAAGGTCTGCTCTTTTCCTGTCTTGGTCGAGACAATACAGTCCTTATTCTGCACACCGGCATTGAGGATGACAATGTCAATCCTACCTAAAGTCTGACATTTCATGGCAAACGCAGAGACAGACTCGAAGTCTTCCATGTCTAGGATCCAGACCTCAACTTGAGCGATTGGAAACTCATTGCGGAGAGCTTCTGCCGCGGCATCGCCTTTGGCTTGAGACCGGACGGCTAGTATCAGCCGAGAGAGATCTAGCTGGAGAAGCTGCCGTGCTGCTTCGAGCCCTAGACCGGTATTTGATCCGGTGACTATGGCTGTCTGGCCGTCAAGTTTGACGTCTGCTGCGATTGGAGGAGGGTGCATGAATAATTGGCGGTATATAAAGCCTATGCCACTTTGGAAAATGAGGCGGCTGCGGATTGGGTCCCATGAAGACATGTTGACTGTCGTATCGATACTCAGAAGTGCTGTTCATGGTCCACTGTCGGAGTACCTTACAATATCAGTGACTTTGTTTGCAGCAATAAGCCCTAAACAATGAGGTGTCTCTATTTGTGGGTCGAAAAGGCCCTGCATCGTATTCGCAAGCCCTGCAGCAGTCGACTACCCCGACGTTATCCTCTTTATCCAGATCTCAGAAAAGTAGAATCGTGGCCTGGCCAGAAAATCTCTAGATTTTGTCGGTGAGCGCAAGAGCCACCGAATTTCCGCCTAGCTGAAAGACACCGAGTCGCATCCGGAAGTTCCCCAAAGCCACCGGATTACCGCCTAGCCAATCAAGTGGGTACCTTCCATGCTAGCGTGCGACTCGCATCGTGACATTCAAGGCATCGAAAGACAAGGCCGTTGGTAGTTATTTGTCTTTCTCTACCAGTTCGCTCGAAACCATGCCTGCACTCGTGGAGCTCCCTTTCAAAGGGCTAACCCTCATCGCCAAATATGCTTTCCAGCCGATCATCACCGGGCCAATTCTCGGATTACTGCTGTGCACCCCAGAACAGACATGGGGAGACGCATTGGAAGCAGCGCCTTTCTCCAGAACCGACAACCCATCCAATCTGATTCGAACACTCGGTTTTCTGGTCACTGTGGGTGTGATAAGGGATATCAACACAGCGCTAAACGCGTGGGCTACAAACAACTGGCAGATACGCGCAGGACACGGTTGGAACTGGTCTTCTGAGATAGCAGTCGTTACCGGAGGATGCAGTGGAATCGGTAAAGCCATTGCGGAGACTCTGACGTCGCACGGGATCCGCGTAGCAGTGCTCGATGTGCAGGACGCACCCAATGCGTTTAAATCAAACAGCCTGCTAACATGCTTCCGATGCGACATCTCCAGCCCTACAGCAATAGCAGAGGTAGCCGACACGATTCGGAACGAACTGGGACGTCCCTCAATCCTCGTTAACAACGCCGGCATCACGGGTTCTCACACGATCTTGAAGACCCCAAACGAGTTTCTCAGCCGTATCTTCGATGTAAATATTCTCTCGCACTGGCGGTTAGTCCAGCAGTTCGTCCCGGACATGGTGGCGAAGAACAAAGGCCATGTTGTGACGGTAGCGAGTGTGAACTCTTTTCTGACAAACTCGGCGAACGCTGACTATGTGGCGACCAAAACCGCTGCGTTGTCGTTCCACGAAGGTCTTACCAGTGAACTGAAGATCTGGTATAAAGCGTCGGGTGTCAAGACTACTATTGCACACCCAGCTTTCGTGCGCACTCCTTTAATCGAGGACATGATCTTGAAGAGTGGCCAGGATCCGAAGATTCTTGAGACTATGATGATGCCGGAGGAGGTCGCGGAGGTTATTGTCAGGCAGATTATTAAGAGACGCGGTGCGCAGCTTTTCATTCCTAGCTGGGGAGCGCCGATATCATGGTTGAAAGGCTGGCCTAATTGGGCACAGGAGCTTGTACGGGATGCGTTCGGGAAAACCAGTGCTGTTACAGGTGGTTCGATGATCGCATACTGAATCTTGAGTCCAGTAAGCTTGTGTATTAGAGAATGAACACCGAATTAGTGCCGTGTAAGCTTCCCACTCGGAGCTGATAAGTAGGTTAGCCTTGATTACCATGCATGCATTCTTGGCTTTGTAGACGTACGATATATATAACGTCTTCGCGCAGTCTCGCATGCCTCAAACCATCTTCACATTCTGTGTCCCTTCCATTTACTTAGACAACCAGTACTCAATAATGGCTTCCGAGTTTTCCCTAGCAGAGACGCCCATCGGCAGATACTTTGCGTCCATGGCTGAGATGGGAGTAATGCGCGTCTTCGTCGAGCACGGCATCTTCGATGCCATTCCAGATGAGGGTATCTCTCTCGAAGACCTTGCAACAAAGCTGAAAGTGGATTATAAACTCATCGAACGATTCGCGGCTTTCCTACTTTCCATCGGCGTGCTGACATCCCCGGCACCCGGACACGTGGCCCATTCACCCTCGTCAAAGGCCTTCACAGACCCGCGTGTCTCGCAATTCTACTCGTATCTCTTCGACTTCTTCATGGGGCCGACGACGCATTGGACAGCCTATTTCGCAGAGAATGGGCTCGCCGAGCCGCCGAGATCGAATCGGTCGCCGGGTGGGTTCGCGCTGGGTATGCCTGACAAGACGGCGTACGAGATCATGGCGGCTATTCCAGGTTTAGCGACGAGGATGAATGGCGCGATGGCGATTGATGGCGATATCCCTGTCACGGGGGTATACGATTTCAGCTGGGTCGCTACGTATGCTGCAGGGGATGAGAAGAGGGTGCTTATTGTTGATGTTGCCGGTGGTAAAGGACAGGCGTTGAAAGACATTCTAGAGGAGACGCCAGCGATTCCCGCGGCCAGATGTGTTCTGCAGGATCAGCCGCATGTTATTGACGAGGCGGTCGCAGAGCACAAGGATTCCGCTGTTTTGGGACCAGTAAAGAAGGTTGGGTCCAGCATTTTCGGGGAACAACCTACCAAAGGTATAGAAATCGAGACTTCTCGCGATACATCATTTCGAGGATGAGCTGACCGAATGCTATAGGTGCCCTCGTGTACTATATACGTCGCGTTCTGAACGACTGGTCCGACCACGAAGCCCTTCAGATCCTGAAGAACGTGCGTGCGGCTTGCGCGGAAGATTCGCGCGTGCTGATTGCGGAGTACTTGCGTCCCGAACAGCCCAGCGTGTATACCAGCACCGTCGACATGTTCATTCTGAATATTGGCGGCAAGGTGCGCAGTGAGAAGACATTTGGGGAGCTTGCGGCGAAGGCTGGGCTGGAGATCGTGTCGGTGGCGAGGCATGACAAAACAGAATCGGCGGTGGTTGAGCTGGCACCGATTTAGTAGCTTCGATACATCACTTTGCCTGACGCATCATCTTTAGAATCACCAAAGCAGTCATCGAAGTATGGACACGATCAGTTTTTGGGTGAAACACCAGGCGTATTACGCGTCGATAGCTTATCTTACCAGGTCACGTGTCTTCGCGTTTTAGCGTCAAACCTTAGCTCAGCTTGTCAGCTTCCCCGCGCTGTACACCTCAACCGCCTTACATACCTCGATACCAACTATCAGCTTTTCCACATTATCTCAAGCAAAAGTGTGACTTGTCATAAATCTTTGGATAAGCCGTGGCTCTATCGTCATCGGACATTATCAGGCACAACCTCAGGCGTTCCTACACAACAATGGCTACTGCGGCGTCTTCGAGTTCATTCCGCTTCCGTGACCTTCCTGGCGAGGTAAGCCACCCAGGTTTCCATTTATGTACCGTGCACTGACTCCGGAAATGACAGATTCGTAATAAGGTCTATCGTATCGTACTATGCAGTTTCCGTCCGCCACCAACTACGATAGAGCCCTCGTCTTTCTTCACTCCGGAACTTGCCAAACATGATATCGAGACTAGTATACTGCGTACATCGAAGGAAACATATCTTGAAGCTTACGATGTCATGGTTAAGAGTAATCGCTTCGTCAAGATCACATCGTCCCGAGGTCATTCCCTGCGGGGTCCCTTGAAAGGGCGGGCAATTCGGATGATCGCGATTGACGAAGGAATCGTCGACAAATTTAAAGGATACGTGCTTGGTGTGCACATTGGTTTCAAAAGCCCGCGGAAAATCTCTATCACCCATGATCCCGGACATGACCCTCATAGTCTATTTGAACCCGTCAGCGCTATGATCCTTCACAGTGACATGGAGAGTTTCTGCGACGCATTGAACGATGTACAATTACACGATTCGGGTTTTGTTAGTAAAGTCAGGATTTCCATTACTATGGCTCCAGTTCTAGACTTGGTTCAAGGCAAGGATACATCGCCGACGTTCGCCAGTTTCTTCACCAAACAGACGCAAGAAACGCTGTTGAAGCCTCTCATGGCCAAACTGTATGGATATAAATCAGTCGAGATTAACGGCCACGTGGACGATACCTTGGTAATTGCTGTTCGTCAAAGCCTCGCTGAAGACCGATATTCCAACCCTGCAACTGTTCTAGCAGATTTTGCTGCAGAGAAAGACCGGTATACACGAATATTTAAAGACAACAACATACAAGAGGCCTGCATGGGTTGGCAAGACACTGTATACGAGCTGGAGAAGTTGCATCAGTCTGACTCTTGGCCAAATCTGGTTCGACGTGGAGGTCATGAGTTTGTGTCACAAATAGTCCCACTATATTTTCTCATGCAGCTCAACATTGCCCACATCCAGATTGGCAACATGCAGACCTTCGCATTTGGTTCCGAAATGTTGGCTGAAGGTGAACTCATATCCGCCCTTCGGTCGACGAAAGAAGGCTTCTGGCAATCCGGCTACAAATTCAGGCCATCTGCTCAGCATCTCGCGAAATTGCGATACCGGTACGCGCTTTTCATGAGGTTAGAAGGAAATCCTTAGAATGCAGATCGTGCGTTGAAACACATCGATGCCGCACTTCGTCTGCAACCGGGGGATGCTGCACTCATGAGAGAACGCGAGACAATACTCGCATGGATACAACAGCTCTAGAATCAGATTCAGTAATCTCTACCTATGCTTAGGTCTTTTTATTGCTACTGAAGGATGGTGATTTCTCTTTGTGTTCCTAGCCCTTGGTTTCACCGCAGAGCTTGGCGATTGGCTGGGGAACTATAATCGTTCTAGCCGAAGCGCTCGATTGCTACTTTTTCAATTCTCCTGCACTTACCTCTTTTCTCATCGCGCGCCCCTTCGGTGAGACGCCCTCAACATGGTCTCGATGAAATCCGCCGTCTTGAAAGACGCGCAGAACAACCCTTCCGCTTCATGGACCTTCCTGGAGAGCTGCGCAACAAGGTATACGCTTTACTCCTTTGTTCCTTCGGATCTACCCCGAAACCCGCTAGAGAGCGCAGCGACGCCTTTCTCGACGACCGTTCTGGCTTATTGCATGTTGTCGACCTTCCGCACACGAACAACCCAACTATCCTTCGTACCAATAGCCAGATCCATCGCGAAGCCTGCAATGTCATGACCAAGACCAACCGTTTCATTCGCGTTCGACTCACACAAGCTCTACCCCTTCGAAAGATCATTTGCTGTCTGGGTGTTGCGGTAGTCGCGACTGGGCACCGTGCAGCGCAATCCAGCGGGTACGTCAAGATCTCCTAGCTCAAACTCTGAACTGTTGCATCAAGTACACCCACTGGTAGACCAGATACAGATATTTGGTAGACATAATTATGTCGACGTACCCACTCAGCAAATACCAGGGTCAATCATGCGACTCCCGATCGACTAGTACAATCGTTCTTGTCATCGATCTTGAGCTGTTCTGCCCTGACTTTAAGAAAGTAGACGCAATATCTCCAGTGTTATCTAAATATATAACAAAGGTCATTGACGTAGCCCCGATGCTCGATCATAGACGCCCATGGTATCGGGACGACTTTACCACTTTCTTTTCCGAGACCATCCAAAAGGCGATATTGAAGCCGTTACTCTTGCTGAGAGAAATTGCTAGCGTCGAATTTCGGGGCCCTTTCATGCCGAATATTGCGGTCAAGCTTGGGAACAGCATGATATCCGACGAGCATGAAGATCTTGACCACAGCTTTCATCTTATAACGTGGATCAAGGAACTTGGAGTCAAGTCGTATTATGAAGGCAATATGAAGAGTGCAATCTCAATTTGGGGAGTCGCACTGATCAGGTTGCTGTGCATGCGTGAGAGTAAAGCCTGGACAAAGCTTATGGAAATGTATGGAGAAACTCCGATTAACAGGTTCGTGACGCTGCAATGCTCATTCAGTCTCAACTTGACACAGGCCGAGATAGTTGGGTGGCGCGAAGCCTCATGGAGTGCCACAAGGGAGACTGGCCTGGATGTGGTCCGCATGTGCCGCCACCAAGGATACTGGAAGTATGGCTACACCTGGACCTTACCTAACGTTCTGGCTGCGAAGTACTTTTACCGGACGGCTTTGTGCATTAGACTCTGGAGACAAATCTCGGAGACTGTTGTCGCTTTGGAATCCATCAGCCAAGCTCAGACGCTTGCACCTTACGATCCCGCCATACCGAAGGAGCAACGTAACATCAAGAGGTGGGCAGGCATGTTTTGATAACGGCATGGCGAATGGCGATCTTTGGAGAGGTTGTATTGACACCCCAACATTTCGAAAGCTCTCATCACATCTGCACAACATCACTTGACATGTCCGATGTAGGTGAAGGTATCTTCGCTTCACGACGGGACGTTGGGAGTTGGACCGATGCTCTAGATACTACCACCAGATTATGACCAATAAAGCCATATGAGATCGTCGGCATGCAATATCTTGCATCGTCTTCCCAACAAGGGCAGATTGACGTAGATAGCAATAGATGTACTCATTCATAGCATGTGACCTTTTGCTTGTTTGATTCTTTCACTACGCTCAGAGGGAGACAGAATGAACATCTCGAAACTCTTGCGACTTCTATCTGAGCCTATGTCGCATATAAATTGCAATACGGAAGAGAACGCCGGCGACAGCAGAGACGGAAGGCAAGTATGGCAGCTATTCAGGAGTTAAGAACATAGTAATGTCGCTATCATTAATCATGCTGGCTACAATGATTTCTTTCATACTGCGTTTGCATGCGAGGAAATATCGGGTTCAGATAGACTTCAGGAAAGGCGATTGCAGAATGATATCCTAGAGTTACTAGGGCGTTCATCTGCGCCTATCAAGAACGCGTACAAGTCTATATCCCTACGACTACCGGACTCGGCGTCTACGATGCAGAAGCGGCTATATGCAAGGCCTATATTCCACGCGAAGCAAACGTTAATTCTAGTGATAGGACAAACTCCTCTACACATTCAGACAGTTGCTCACATACTCGATAGTCGTAGGAATATCATAGAAATACTTTGATGTACATTCATATACTTCCGTTTTCAGTAAGATATCTCATCAGCCCAATCTTCCCTGATCATCTCGCTACCCTTCTCAGCCACCATGTAAATACTCGCCAAGATGTTAGCATCCGGAAGTACCGGTACAATGCTACAATCAACAACTCTCAATCCATCAACGCCATACACTCTCAACCTACTATCTACGACACCTCCATTCTCAAACGGCAGCATTTGGTTCGTACCAGTAGCATGCCAGTTTGGAATCGTGTTCGCTTTGATGTACTCCAAGATAGCTTCATCATCGTCATCAGCAACCGCGGGGCCAGGGCTGACTTCACCAGCGTTCGGCCCGATTGTAAAGCGAGACAAGGCCGGGTGGCGAAGAATGGAGCGGAGGTACTTGAACGAGGCAATACCGACAGCGCTATCGGTGGGGTCGGCATAGTAATTGCTATTAATGAGGGGGCTATCAGACATGGAGGCACTGCGGAGGGTCACGGTACCGCGGGATAGCTGGACCATGCTAGAAGCCGTGACGGAGATGTAGGAGTCGTTCGGTAGTGGTGCCCAGTATGGTGTAGGGATCCACGGGTACCAGACACTCTCAAATAGGTATTCAATGTGTGTTTGGTTCGCCAGACCGGCGTCGATGACGGCCTGCGCACCGATATCACGGAGTTGCTGCTCGGTGAGCTTCTGGAACCCGTTCGTTACGCCGGATGGAGCAGTGTATTGACCTGTGAGGTTCTGGTAGTATGCTTCTTGAGCGGCGCGCAAATTTTGGGGTGTGCGAGACATGTCGGTTGTGGAAGCATTATCCTGCGCACGCGCCATGATACTGAACACGGAGTGATCATTAAGATTGCGGCCGACGTTTTCATTAATCACGACCGGCTGTACGCCGACCTTCTCCAATTCAGCAGCTGGGCCAATGCCGGAGACCATGAGGAGCTGAGGCGAGTGAAAAGCACCCATGCTTACGATGACTTCGTTACGTGCTCTTGCTTGACTTGAAAAGCCAGTCAGCTGGTTGATATAGCTGACACCAACGGCGCGCGGTCTGCTGCTAGTGGAGTTTGTCATGTTGCCAGATGGGCTGCTGAAAACGATCCCAGTGACAGGCGCGTCATGCAAAACCCGTAGATTCGTTCGGTTGCGAGCTTGCTCATAGAAACTGTCGTAACTAGAGCTTCTTCGGAGCATACTGTTGAGGGTAGCCGTTCCGTGTTTCACACCCACACCGTCACCAAGATTGAGATCCTCAACGATAGGTATGTTCGCAGCTTCGCTGCAAGCGACAATAAACCCATCTGTAGATGGCGGAACATATCCTTGAAAGCCTAGCTCAAGTGGTCCTCCACCATACGCATCAGCGTCGAACGTCTTGTAATCTTGGCTGAACACTGAAAGCTCTGGTGTTGTAATGGGCGCATTCATCTTTGTACTCTTCCTGAACAGGCGATACACATCGTTCCACCCCCATCCTGGGTTGCCCAACTCGGCCCAATGATCGTACACGCTGGCTGAGCCTCGTGCATAGTAAAGACCATTCGTCGTGCTAGACCCACCGAGGGTTCGTCCGCGAAGGTACTGCAGGGTGCGATTGTTTAAGTGTTCTTGTGGTGTGGTCAAAAGACCCCAGTCGATAACACTGCCTTTGATGAACTGATTGCCACCAGGTGATTCGTGTGATAGGACCTGCTCAGGACTAGGACCGGCTTCGAGGACCAGCACAGAAAAACGTCCAGACTCCGTAAGACGATTCGCCAGAACGAGACCGGCTGTTCCCCCTGCATACTGTTAGTAGAACCATCGAGGTATGCTGACAAGCAAACGCAAATGGAAAATGTTCCTGGAGCAGTTTATGAGGGCACAGGAGTGTGTATACTACGTACCACCTGCGACGATGAAGTCGTACTCTTCGTTGAAGACGGGCTCTTGATCTTGACCCCCTTGCTGCGGAAGGTCAGCTGGCCCCTGACGTTTCCCCAACTGTGAATTATGTAGGTTGTACGTCGGCCACGCGGAGGCTATGCTGGTCAAAGACGAGATCGAGAGCAATAGACATGTCGATGCCTGAGCTGCGGTGCAATACCGCATCTTGAAAGTATGCTTGCTCTTTCTCTTCCGCCTGGGTAAGTGATCAGAAGAGTGCAAAACAAAATAGCTTCACTTTTTTCGAGACTATGGTACTGTGATAATCTACACAATCACGACGGAGCGGATGTATCCTTTTATACTTAGTTGTCATCTCTGTCGCAATGGGCGGAATCAAGGACAAAATAGCCAAGGCCTTGGGCGTGGGCTTCCTGCGCCTTGGTACACGCAATCGCATGCTGAAAAAACAAGCTCAAGATTTGCTGTCAGCCACGCCGAGAGTGCCGGACAGCTCCGCCATAGCCGGTGATGTTCGAATTCCAAGTCTTGAAAACAACCCGTGTCAGGGTGAGCCCAGTTGGGACGCGTCTTGGCTTCTTACAATGGGGCCATAGTACACGCTCCGGTGAGGGCGGTTCTCTCAAAGGTGCCTTGCTTACACCGGCAACGATGACTACAAGGAGGGGCAACACGTGTAGTAGAACGGCGTGCTGTGTAACATTGCTGCAAACACCTGGAAGTCGCAAGAAAGGGCCATTCGTGGCACCGCGTGATAGCGCAGGTGCAACCTTGCAAGATGGTTCCTATGTAGAATACCCCAGGCCAAGGCAGAATCGTCATTGCCGAGCCTGGGGTTACGCGAGATCGCGGCTCAATGTCGATCTACGTACCTCCATGTAAGCCCGCCCAGCAGGTAGGGCCGGAGTTTGCAGTCGCAGAAACGTTGATAGTGCTAGTGACAGGTGCCAATGCGACGGCTCGAGGAGCGTTCTCCGGAAGTGCGGGGAAGCTAAGCCACCGCCAATGGATAGCGACGCGCACCTTTCGATACATCGGGAAGTATCTGGGTATGCAGAACGATATGCGCGTATGGAACGACTACTCCGTACGGTCGTACGCGATGCTCGTGGCCATGCACCTGTTCCAATGTTCGTGTAAGCCTTAGGCGTGAGCCGGTGTTCCGAACCAGAATATTCGCTTCTTGTCGACATGGCGCGTCATCTAGCGATGAGGAAATTCATCCGGCATACGATCGCTTGATGGATATGTGATTAACATCAGCAGCAGATTCGATCCGGTCCATTGTTCGAGATGACGTTGCTTGCGCCTCACTCTACACCCGTATTTGAGCAGGCTGATGGAGAGTTCTAACTGAACGGAATTTTCCTTTTGTAGGGGATCCGTGGATTACGTTGCTACACTTCTTCGTATCCGTTTGATTCGGGCGATATGTGATGAAAGACTGGGGTAGGACTTGATAAGAAGTTGGCTGGCGTCCATGCGCAAAGTGTCGAGAAAGAAGATGATGATAGAGCCCGGACTGAGAAGTATGAATGAAGAGGCGGCGTTCCATTACCTAAACAAGCCTCGCGATTACTCATCGGGCTGCCCCTTTGCACCTGCAAAGACTGATTCCGACTCCGCCTCAAGCACTATCTTCTTAGTATATCCACACATTCGGCGCATTCAAATATTCGGTGCATTCATTGTTCGACTTCTTAGACATTCGGTGTATTTACAGACTCAGAAGACCTATCAGCTATTAGAGAGCGGCGAGAATTACCTCATGCAGTTGGAGCGGGCACACTTGCACTTTCAACCTTACAAGAGAGTCTTTTCTTCTGTGTGCCAAGCTCCAAACCAGAAGCAGTGTAGCCCTGTTACTAGAAGCGACCGAGCTGCTTTGCACGTAGATACGCACATTGGACCTTTACGGATGGAATGTAGCACAAAGCAATGAACTGAGCACTACAACAAACATTGACCACCAAGCTATCCTGGAGGATAATTGCCTCGGTTTTACAATCTCTTAAGGTCTTGATCATGCCTGATCTCCTTGCAGATTACGGTGAATTCGGCGCGTTCACATTATCGGTATCATCACGCACCGACACACGGTATCCTCACACACTCGGTACATTATGAGATCGGCATAGGCACGAGATATACACATGATGTATCGCGGTAGTTTGATCAGCCTGATCACATGTCGCATCGTTGACATGGGATGTACATGGCTAGGAACCTCTGGTATGATGGTCATCTCATCTGGGAAGCTGTGTCTCTACTACCGATATCATTGTGACCGTAAGCCGAGCGCGAATGTATAAGTACTGCTTC